AAGCAGAAGTGAAGTCCTGGACGCCATAAACTTGCTGAAATCCGGCAAAGCAACAATACCAAATGGAATTCCCTCAAAAGCACTGAAAACACGCAGATACATCAGCAGCGGACATGATCATACCACTACAGCAGAAGGCTGGAAAGGACGGGAAAGTACCTGACGATTGGAGGATAAGCTACCTTTTTGAACCCACGAAAAAGGATGACTCGAGTCTTTACAAGAACTGATGCGTTATCATGCGCCACTCCTGGCACCTCCCAAGCAAAATATTAAGCCGCATCATCCTGGAGAAACTAAAAGGAAAATGCTTTGCATCAAAACTATGACTGGAACAGGCTGGCTGCCTTTAAGAAGAACAAATCATGTGCGCTTCAAATTGCAACGCTACGCCACACATCATCATAAAACACAGCATAAAATGACAGTCAACTCAACTCAACTTCATCGACTTTGAAAACGCCTTCGACAGAGAACTAATTTTAGCGGGCAACTGCTTCAACACTACAGCTTTAATGTCACAAACTTTTATCAACCTCATTCAACAGAAATATACTGTTTGATGCTATATGTCAAGTGATTCACTCACAATAGAAAGCTCAGTGACGCCTTTGAAGTGAAGAAAGGCGTAAGACAAGGCTGCCACCTACAACCACCGACGATATTTCTGATTGTGCTGGACTGGACTGGACTGGACCAGATCATCCAACAAACTGTGAGGAACAAGAAGAGGGGTACACGCTGGCTGGACTGATCAAAACACCCCAGGAGAAGACTTGGATTTCACCACCGATGATGATTTATGTCTAATATCTCGTCGCACAAACTCGAAGATATACAGGCGAAAACCAACAAGTTGGCAGAAGAGGTAGAGCAGCGAAGGCGAGACTTCCTTCAGGTCAACGTAGTGAAGACAGACGTGATGAAGATACCCAACCAATAACAACAACAAGCACCAATCACCATCAACTGGAGAAATCTATAGGAAGTTGTCTCCTCCACCTACCACCGAGATAGCATCTTTTCAACTACACATGACACAGGCACAGATGAGGATGTCAGACCCAGCATCAGACAGACGGCAAGATAGACCCTCCTGCATTAACCTGAAATCAGTGTGCAGATCTACTGCACTCCACTCCACTCCACTCCACTCAGCATAAAGCCTCAACAAGATCCGGATTTTCAACACTAATATCAGTCAAGTAAGTCAGTGCTTCTATGTGATGGTTCAGACACTTGGCGCGCCACGAAAAGCATTTCTAACAAACTACAGATATACACCACATCAACAGCTTCCACCTACGATCACTCGATACTGAAGATGGAGATTAGATGGAATGGGAATGTAGCATTGGCATAGTACTGCTGTCCTAATCCTCAACTTCGTTCTCAGTTCCCCATAATAGGGTAGTGTATCATACTACTGCGGTAGCTGCTCTCTGCACTAACTACGCCCAAGTAACCTTTCTGGTATTTAGGACCAAAAGAGAATATGTGTCTCATCATTATAGCATGTTGGGTCATTGAGATCTGTAAGTCTGACCAACACATCAAGGTAACAGCTATCGGTTCGGTAAGTAATGAGGGTTATATTTGCTTCGTGTTAGGTTATGATTCTCTTTTATTTCATTTATCAGATGCATACTACTGGGAATAAGTTTTATTTCATCTGAACGATGTTCTGAGCACAAAGCTATAAAAAGGTTGAATCATAAAAGTAAATAGGGAAGTTGTGCGATTATATTCAAAATTTACACAAGTGTCTCAAGTATATTGCTATTTGAAATTCTGGAGCGAAACCCTGTCTGACGAATAAAAAGTTGTTTAATATCATCATCAATATCACATAGGACCAGGCATTACTTCGTGACGCTCCGAGTTGCCACATCTCATATCAGTACATCAAGTAAAAAGGCAGTGAGGGGCAAGATGAAGAAAAGAAAATTCAGTCAAAAGAAATATAAAGTACTAAAATAGAGAAAGGAAGAATGAGAAAATGGTGAGATTCGGTATAGCATCGTTAAGATGAGGATAATGTGTGCATACATATGCGCCACTGACATCAGTTCTCAGCCAAATCATCTAGTCTCCAAAAACTAGTTTCTCTCGTCCCGCGGACCTCAACCGGCTAGTCTGCATCGGCACACATGGCTCAAACCAACAGTCAAAGACTTCATACACTGATGCTATGTTCTAGTCGGGACAGCTCGTGTCTTTTTCCAGCCTGGACCAACTTCGGCCAACATTGTGTGACGAGGCAATTCATACAGGATCCTACTGGATAACGGGCAACGTAATTGTGGCTGGAGGCCAGTTAAACTGTTCCTCGAAGTGTTCTGCCCATCGTCCCAGTCGTCTCCCCTGAGAGTGAATTGCAGATCTGTCCTTCTCCGCTATAGCCTCACTAACTGTTGTTGACCTTTTCCCCCAGTCTCCTTAATAAGTCTAAGTAACTGTCTACTGTTACCAATCGCCACTGCCTTTTCCATCTCTTTAGCCTTCACTGCCCACCAGCGTTCGTCGTCGTTGCGTAAACATTTTCTCAATCTACTTTTAAGTTACGTTCGCTCTTCATTATAGTCAGAGCCTGGAGGAATGCGTTCACGTGCATCCATTAGTTCGGAAAAAGCTTCTGATATCCACTGGCTCTTTTCAGTGACTATTTCGGAGTCGGCTACGGCCTTGAGAGCTGCTTTTACAGAAGACTGGAGATGACACCAAGCTTCTTCTGGATCAGCGATAGTCTTCTGTTCCGATAACTGCCTAGCCAACTTCTCACTGACCACGGCTTTGGTGTTTTCGTTGTCGAGCTCCACTCGTATTGGTTTTGCTGCCAAATCTTTTCCACGTCCATTGAGATGCAGGCATACACGTGCTCGGACCAAAGCATGGTCGTTATCCAAACACGTACTCCTGAAGGAGCAGCAGTCCCCCACCGATCCTCTCCAGCAATGACTAATAGCAATGTGATCTATCTGTGTCCATCGCTGAGTTGAGCTAGGTGGACGCCACGTCAGACAGTGTCTTTCTTTATGTCTGAAACTTATGTCAACTGAAAATAAGCGATTATCTGAGCACAGTTGTAATAGGCGATCACCGTTATCTGTTGGTTCAGCCGGGACTCCGAAAGTCCCACCTAAGTTCCTTCTGCCTCACTCAGTCTACCCACCTATGCATTGAAGTCACATGCAACAACCACCAAGTCCGAACGTTTGGCTTTCGACAGGAGGCTAGACATCTGACGGTAGAACTCGTCCTTCACTTCATTCGAACTACAGTCCGTGAGTGCGTAAGCAGAGATTACAAAAAGACAACGGCGAGTCTCACTATTCCTTTTAGTTCTCACCATGCCGTTCAGTTGCATAGCGCAGAGGCGACTATCAACTGAGATCCAGTCTAGTAGTGAGTTTTCTGTCCTAGTGCTTAGTGCTATGCCTACACCTGCAAGACCACGAGAGCTAGCTATTGAACCTCCAGAAACTCGAAGGGTGAATTTTGCGGATTCACCAGACTGGTCAGGAGAGGTCAGGTGAATAAGCACACTTGGGTCCTGTATGAGTGTCTCACAAAAACAGTACACATCCATAGACCGAGTCACTAGAGTCTTTATCAACGAAGGCTATTGACCAGTTTGACGGAGGGTGCGGACATTGAAGGCTGCAATATGTAATTCGGAGAGTGGTTTAAGGAGACCAATCATGCTGTTCTGTGGACTCAGATTGTTGTCAAAGGCTGCAGAGCTAGGAGAGACTGAAGATGTAGTATCGTTAATTGAGAGACGGGAAGGAAGATTAAAAGGTAATGATGGGGAGGTGGACAGTAGTCTGACGAAACTTCAGTGCTGGTAGAGTTGTGAGGGCGGTCGACACTTCCCGGTTGCCCACACCATGGAAGGTCACTTCTTCTTAAGGTACCTGAAAGAGATTTGAGTGACCACAGAGCCCATCGGACATCTTCTCAAGGCCTGTCACACGGAGCCTTTTGAGTATGATTATTTTGAACTTCAGTTGTTTTGGGGCCAGATGGTCGAAAGGAAACGACAAGTGAACCAACACCGCCGGCTCGGCAGACCCTGGAGCATGTTGGAGCGTGTTATTTTTGGAGCCGACCTTTTCTAACCCATCCCCCCTTCCTTCCACTGAGAAGGCAGCATCAGCATGGCACTGCTGGTCATCGAAGGGAAACACCTTACTGCTGACACATCCCATCCAGCTAGCAGCAGTACGACTTCGCCCTCAGGCCCCCATTATAGTGTAGTAATTTACACCACAACGGTACTGCCATTTCGTATAACCACTATCCAACAGACCTTTCTGGTATGGTAGGACATCGAGGGAACAAGTGTTTCACCAGCTTAGCTAGTTGGGTCATTTGATATGGAAGCCCGACCACTACGTCCAGTTAGTAGCTGTCGGTCAAAATATGAGTTTACTTTTGCTTAAATCATATCTAACGAAGCTTTCGATGGTTATCGTACTTATATGACTCTGACTTATACTACAATTTTGTAGGTTATCATTCAATACCGCTGAATTTATGCAACTGTAATTATGTTGGTGTACATAAAAGCATTTAACTTTGACTGGTTGTGGGAACCACTAGTTGGTGTACTATTTTGAGAACTGGTTGCGTGACTTAATTTGGCGACTGGTTTAAATATACCCATTACAATTGTAATCCTTGTTTATAGTACTGGTCTGAATGAATACTGAACATCAAGTAAGGATTAATCAATTCATAGTCCAATCCTAAAAACAGCACAGAATCCGTAACTTAAGAAGGATTAGGAGCACATGACTGTACTTCTTGGTGACGTGTAGCCATTTGACATCGAATGAGATTGATGCTCCTACCAGTCAAATCTTTATATTACCTTCAAAGAGAACATCTATCCATCGTCTTTAAAATCTACAGAAAAATGTATGAGGTTGGTATATAATACCTCAATCACAAACACTGCATCAATCAAGACCATACAAGAGAAGCTTGGTTTTTACCTTTACTTTCAGAAACAGCTTTCCCTAAAAACTAAAGAAGCATATCAGTAGAATCCAACATAACGCTCACCTTCTTTTTCACCTTATTCAAAGACATTCTATTTGCAGGCCGTTTACGTTCAGAATTGCTGCGCTGATGTAAACCACCGTTACAATCGCTCTTGACATATGGGACTTCTGAAGATAAGCAACTTGGCCACTTTGCATTTTTATGCTTTTTAAAATGTTCACGATTCTCACGGTCCAGACCGATGTCGTCCAATGAGTGCCTCTTTACAGACATCTACTGTCAAAGAACATAGTTGTAATTATTATAAAAATCTTCAATGTATAGTGAGTGTTGTGTCATAATGTAACTGTGAATAAAATATAAAACAGATGATTATACGCCATCATCAATATCAACATAGGACCAGGCATTACTTCGTGACGCTCCGAGTTGCCACATCTCATATCAGTACATCAAGTAAAAAGGCAGTGAGGGGCAAGATGAAGAAAAGAAAATTCAGTCAAAAGAAATATAAAGTACTAAAATAGAGAAAGGAAGAATGAGAAAATGGTGAGATTCGGTATAGCATCGTTAAGATGAGGATAATGTGTGCATACATATGCGCCACTGACATCAGTTCTCAGCCAAATCATCTAGTCTCCAAAAACTAGTTTCTCTCGTCCCGCGGACCTCAACCGGCTAGTCTGCATCGGCACACATGGCTCAAACCAACAGTCAAAGACTTCATACACTGATGCTATGTTCTAGTCGGGACAGCTCGTGTCTTTTTCCAGCCTGGACCAACTTCGGCCAACATTGTATGACGAGGCAATCGACGACTAGGCATACGTAACACGTGTCGCAACCATCTCAGTCGATGAAGGTTGATAAACTCGTCAACAGATTTATCTCTTCCTCCTAAAACCCTACTTCTGAGTTACTCACGTGGTGACACCACGGAATACGGCATATACTACGAAGGCAACGGTGATCAAACACCTGAGGCCTTCTCATGTCTTCTACCTTCAATGGACATATTTCACAACCATACAGTAGAACAGGGCGGACTGCTGTGCAGTACACGCGACACTTAATAGACAATCAGATATCACGGCGGCGCCATAGGTGGCGTAAGTTGGCAAAAGCCAGCCGAGCCTTTTGTATCCGTGAAGTGATTTCCTCGGCCACTGAGCCACCAGGTCAGGGCTGATCCTACTTCCAGATAAGTGAAGTAGTCAACACACTCAACTTCTCCACTCTCTATTGTTATCCGAGGCACTGTTGAAGACCAATCATGAGTAACAATTTGCATTTGGGTGGTGAGAAACGCATCCTAAACATTCTCAAACTGCCACTCGAAGTGTTCAGAAGACTCTGCATCTTGTCAGTGACTTCACCTAACAGGACTATATCATCTACATATTCTAGGTCTAACGAAAATTCTCGTGTGATTAGGTCAACCTCTGTGTAGTCAGATGACGAAAGGGAGACTCCCATAAGAATATCTATGATAAAATTGAATAAGAATGGAGAGTTTGCGGCCTTGATCGACACTACTCGACTTACACAACTCAACAGATATCTTAGCGTAGACCCTAACACGCCCACAAGTGCTTGAGTAGAGAGCCTTCAATAAGGTGATGAACTTACTCGGCATGCCTTTCTGTGAGAGACATTGCCGTAAGACTTCTCGATCAACGGAGTCGAATGCCGCCTTCGGGTCGAGAAATACAGCTAGTGTTGGGTGTCGGTAATCGTGCCTAGGTTCCAGAACCTGGCGCAGTAAGAATATTTGGTCGATGCACCCGCGGCCCGGTGTAAATCCTGCCTGGTTTTCTCGGGCTTACTGTTCCCGAGCTCCACTCAGACGTCAAAGACTTATAGAACCTAGAATCTGAGGCACTATGTTCACCAGGCTGATTCCTCTGTGATTATCATCAAAGGACTTCTCGCCTTTCTTGAAGACTGGGATAATCAGTGATTCAGACCATTCATAGGAGATCGTATTTGATTCCCATATCCCAGTTAACACTTTCGTTAACCTGAGTAAGAGCACCGTACCACCATCCTTGTATACCTCAGGAGTTAGTCCGTCTGGTTCTGCCGCCCTTCTTTGTTTTGGGTTACCTACCGCTTCCTCGACTTTTTCTAGTGTTGGTTGGCCTATCCCAGTGTTCCATTTAGGATCCGACTGGATAACGGGCAACGTAATTGTGGCTGGAGGCCAGTTAAACTGTTCCTCGAAGTGTTCTGCCCATCGTCCCAGTCGTCTCCCCTGAGAGTGAATTGCAGATCTGTCCTTCTCCGCTATAGCCTCACTAGCTGTTGTTGACCTTTTCCGCCGGTTTCCTGAATAAGTCCAAATAACTGTCTACTGTTACCAATCGGCGCCGCCTTTTCCATCTCCATAATCATACACGCTAAGGAAAGAAACGAAAAATGTTCAGTGAGAAGATAATTTACAGTAATAAAGCATAACTTTAAAAAAGGAAGGAAATTGGTTTGGAAAAAGAGACAGTCGGTAGAGGTACAATATAACTGCATATTACATTAGTCTCTTTGGTGCAGAACACAATGTTATGGTACTATTTGCTAGACAAACAAATAATGATAACATACATCAGTTTTACTATCTGAGAAGGTTATGGTTCGGCAGACATGGATTCATATTGGGTGATGATTGAATGTTAAATGAAAATCTAGGCCTCTGGTGTGAATTAGTCGCGGACTAGATATTTACTTCACCTGCAGGCATGGCCCGTATCAATACAAGCCTGCTAATCCACGTCTGTTTCAGATAATCATAAAGATATCTATTTATCATTTTAATTACTGAAGTCACCATTCATGTTTCTGGTAAATAGAACTGTATTACTGTGACTGACTAATGAACTGACAAAATTAACATAGAACGTAGAACACAGCTGCATCCACTCAAGTTGCCACACAAGGAACAGGTGAATAGAAAAAGAGTGATATCACAGATAAATTAGTGTGAGGGAATAAAAAATCTGAAAATAGAGGTTCTTACGAATACTCACCAAATAGTGAATACATCTGAGCTATTGTAACCGATTTTCAGTCACGTCACCAAGAGTCCTCAATCACTGGTCCCTTTCATCTCAGGGACCCCGACCAGGTGGTCTACATCTCCCTACACGACTCAGACCAACAGTAAGAGATTCACCGACTACTGCACATCTTGGTCTGGCCACCCTGAACCCTGTTCTAACGGAATCCAACTTCCCCTGGCATTGCACGTCGAGGTAGGGGCCGGCTTGGCATGCTCAGTACATGTCCAAACCATTTCAGTCGATGAGCATTAACAACCTCACCGATCGAACTGCCTGCCTTGCACAATACCCTTTGCATGACCTCAACATTCTTCACACAGTGGTTCCACCAAACGCAAGCGCTGCTACGAAGACACCTATGATCGAAAACCTGTAATCGCTTCACGTCTTCGACTTTTAATGCCCATGTCTCACAGCCGTACAATAGGACAGAATGGACTCCAGCGCAGTATATTTGTTTTTTGACAGACAGTCGGATATCTCGCCAGTTAGCGTCACAGGTAACGCAAGTTGAAAAATGCCAAAAAGGCCTTCTGTATCCGAGCTGAGATTCCGTCAGCAACTAGCCGGTTCGGTGGGTTGATGCAACTACCCAAGTAAGTGAAGTGGTCGATCAATTTCACCACCATTTCCCATCAATAAACTGCGAGTGCTCGCAGCAGATCAGCCGTGGAGCATTATCTTACATTTGACGGATGAGAAACACATGTCAAAGATACTCAAATTGCTGCTCAGTGCGTCCACAAGACCCTGCTGCATTTCGTCAGGGCAATCAACCAGCAAGACAACATCGTCTCCATACTCCAATTCTGCCACATACTCTCTCCAGTGGGTAGATCAGTCTCTATGAAGTTACACGTAGCTGAGGTTATGTCCATTTATTATTATTATTTGTGCCTTGGGTTCCTAATGGAACATAGGGCTTCAGTAGAACGTCTCCAGTGCACTCTGTTCTCTGCAAACTTCTGAACCTGGCTCCACGACAGCCATTAATGCATCGATAACCAAGTGAAACTGAAACGATGGCAGTAGGCATCCTAATTGACACTTATAGTTGTCGTCAATTCATATGGTAACTTTCAATTGGCATTTACGTGTCTGCATAAGTTCAAGTACAGAGCTTTGATTAGCGTTGTATACTTGCTGGGTACTCCTTTCACAGTCAGACGTCACACCGGATCAGATCGTGATAGAGTCAAATGCTGCCTTCAGGTCAAGAAATATGGTAAGTGTTTGCCACTGCGAAGTATGCCTGTGTTCTAAAATCCGACGAAGACTGAAGAATTGCTGGTTGCACCGTCATTCAGGTGTGAGACCTGTGCGGTTCTCATTTTAGTTGGTTTTTCAGATGTATCACTAAGTAGATGAGTATTAGTTACTGGATTACGTTTCGGACAAAATTTACCGTCCATAGTCATATCATATCGACTTCGCCGTTCTCGAGCTCCAGTAAGGGTTCGTATAAAACAACCCAACGGATTTTGCACAGGATTAATGCTGAACTAATCCGCATAAGGTTGTCACAAGAAAATTTTTCTTCCTTATTAACAGAAATGATAGGTGAAGTAGACTAGTCTGATGGCACCACCTCTAATTCCTATACGATACTTAGTACCTCCACTACTCAACAGTTCTTCACCTTCATCGTCAAAAGGGTGAACGGAAACGTGACACTGCCGAAGATGGTTGAAAGTTCCCCATGCTTTTTCAACAGTCCAATTTAAACTGATGAACCCAGTTTGCTGAAATTGCGGTTTCGCTCACTACCGTCAGGTCTACTCGCTAAACATTAGGTGAAAAGGCAGTGAATTCCCTAAAAGGTTTTTTAGGGCCATTATCATCTTCGGTGGAGGGAAACGCATCCCAAACACATTCACATTGCATATTATGGTGTCCAGAAAAGTCTAAATCTTGTCTGAGACTTCGACTAATAAGACTGTATAATCACTACACTCTAAGTCGACTGAAAAGTACTCCGTAATAAAATCAATCCACCTCAAGTCACAAGAAGATAGAGACACTTATACAAGTCCTTGTGAGGAAGTTATGTAAGAATGGAGAAAGTGGACACTGTTGAAGGACACCACTCCATGTACACAACTCACCAGAAACCCAACCATACGCTTTGACATACCCACGGCTATCTGAATACAGCACCTTCAACAAGATGATGCAATTACTCGGTACCCGTTTTACTAAGACATGCAATAATACCCTTTT